CTTATTGAAGATAATGCATCATGGCTTCGTTTGAATTTTTCTCGCATCTATCAGATTAGTTTTCAAAATGAAAATTTTAAAGCTCTGCAACAATTTTGTGATGATATTATTATAAAACACCCAAATTTGGTTTTTGATTCTGATGATTTTATCACCCTTCAAGAGAATGCATTGATTTCACTCTTAAAGCATGACGATTTACAATTGGAAGAATCTGTAATTTGGGATAAAGTTATTTTGTGGGGAAAAGCGCAAACTCCAAATTTGCCTTCTAATTATGAGCAATGGAATGAGGAGAATTTCAAATCTTTAAAAATTACTCTTAAAAATTGTTTACCTCATATTAGATATTTTCAAATTCCTGGTGATGAAATCTTAGATAAAATACGACCTTATAAAAAAATCCTCGAAGAAAATTTGTGGGATGATATTATGACAAAATTTTTATCTCCAAATAGACCTGTTACATCTACAATTTTACCTCCTCGCAAAAAATTGGCAACTCAGCTTCCTCCTCGAAAATCAATATCTATACCTTCCTCCATAATCACTTTAGAGCATGCAGCAGAAATTTCTTCCTGGATTGATCAACATTCAACAACTTATGATATTACAGAAATCCCGTACGAGTTCAAACTGTTACTTAGAGGTAGTAGAGATGGGTTCGATGCCAATACATTTCATAGATTATGCGATAATATACCTGGCCTAATAGTTGTTTTAAAGGTTGGAAATTCAAATGAAATACTTGGTGGATATAATCCTATTGGCTGGAAATCTACAAATGATGGATGGAAAGCGGCACCTAATAGCTTTATTTTTTCTCTAAAAAATGAGAATATGAAACAATCTATTCTTAGTCGTGTAAAGAATCGATTAAATGCAATTTATCATGAAAAAACACATGGTTCATGGTTTTTTAATTTTGGATTTCGGGATTCTTATGGTCCTAAAAAATGGTATTATGGTAAAAGCAATGCTTATCAACTGCCAATCAGAAACGTAGCGGATGATTGTTTTTCAGTCGATGATTATGAAGTATTTCAAATATTAAAAATTTCGTAAATTCTGCTATAAATTTACTTGTCATTTATAGTTCATATAGATAAAAATGAATTATAATTAAGTTAATGGAAAAACATCAGATCACACTTTATAATTTGAGTTTTCTAATTGTGTTGCAGTTAATTGACTGATTCGTTCATACTCTTTATCATCCGGTTCATATTTCTCAGGTTGTAATTATAAATTGACTAGTTATTTTATAATAAAAATTTATATAACAACTTAGACTCGTTTTCCTATACCAACCTTATTCATTAATCGTGGTCCACATGTTCTGACCTTATCTTCTGGAAAAAAAATTGATATTTACCTCTATTGTTAAAAAAATTCTAAAACAAATACATATATAAAACCATTATCATGCTTTAAAATTAAACCTGTTTTGCCATAATCATTTTTTAATACAATATATAGAACAATAAATAATATTTTGAATAATTCTAATACTATAATATGTGCAGGAAGTGCAGGAAAAAAAATAAATTTGGCAAATTACATGAAAATAATTACAAATAAGGGCTCAAAGTGAAAATAACTACATATAAGGGACCAAATTTTGAAAAATGGGGTCTTTGCCTTGAAAATCAAGTTATGGGACATAGTAAATCATATGTCATATATTGATTTTCAAGGCAAAGATCCCAAATATTACAAACAAGAACCCAAATTTCTCGTAACTAATTAGATTGCAAGTTTCTAATATTCAAAATTATATGAAGGTAATTTTCTTTGACAATTAAACGTATTATTTTTTGATCAGTATTGCATTATTTTCCTAGCGTCTTATATACAAAATTTATAACTACGTTTGCCGATTTTTAAACTTTCTCTTCGAATATAAATGATTCTGCGATTCTATATATCTTCGATTAACTCATAGTAATCTTCACAAAAATATGATTCACTAATTTTGGTATAGGATAGTAGTTTAGAACCAATCAACATTACATTATTGATAATACAGTGATAACGTTCAAAGAAAATAACGCAAGGTTATTGTGGCCATTAATTGTAAATTTTTCAAAATCTGGACCCTTGGAACCTAAACCAGTTAAAACACGAGTTTTTAATTACGTGAATTTGATTATGTAAAATGAAACTCGAATCAAGTTAAAAAACCAATCTTACGATCATGATCTGTAATTTTAATGCGTATACAGTATTCCAACAAATAACGGATTTTGAACTAACATGTTCAGGCAAGCATAATTAACAATCATATACTGAATCAGTTTTAGAGCAGAGTTTGAAACTCAGCTTATGTGTGTGTTAAGGAACAGTGTTCGAGCGGGTTTCGAAGCACAAACTAACCAGTTTAAGCAGGATAACATCCCTACCTTAGATATAATTATTTTCATTTGGGACCCTTATTTGTAATTGTCCGGAGCGGAGTGGAGGACTTTACAGTCCAGACCTGTCACGGTTGCCCCTGTATTGTTGTCCAGATCGGTGGAAAGTTTTACCATTTAGACTGTGTACCCCGGTAACATATATAGTATACTTTGAAGACGTAAAAAAATAATCCTCTACAATTTCAACAAACGATGAAGTGACAAGAAAGTAATTAATAAAAAATAATGATACTGTGTACGCATTAGCACCTGGTGCTGTATTATATATCGCTGTTAAATTTTCTCTTTGAAAATTTAATATTGCCTTTAATATCTGAATAAATAAAAATTTTCTTGTTGAAAGTACTTAATAACAATTATTGTAATATGTAAATTACTAAAATAACAATGTTAAATGTAATTTTTTGCTCAACTTAAAATTAATGCAATTATTAATTACCCCGAACGTTATCAAATTTTTAATTATCCAGAATGCCATCAAATTTTTTATCAGCAATTATGCGTTGTTTTATTTATTTTAATGCAATTAATCATAATAATATCCGAAACATTCAAATTCGTTCGCTTTATTAAAATAACAATGTTAAATGTAATTTTTTGCTCAACTTAAAATTAATGCAATTATTAATTACCCGAACGTTATCAAATTTTTAATTATCCCGAATGCCATCGAATTTTTTATCAGAAATTACGCGTTGTTTTATTTATTTTAATGCAATTAATCATAATAATGTCCAAAATGTTCAAATTCGTTCACTTTATTTTATCTTTAAATGAGTCAACAGCATAATAATCAAGAAACCTCAGCGGAACGGAATGCTCACCTTGAAAGAAGACATATAAGGGATCGGTTACGTCAAGAAAGAGAAACCTCAGAAGAACGTGACTCTTGAAGAAGAAAAGATCGAGAAAGGCAACAACGGCATTGTGAATGAAAAATAAATGAACAAGCAGTCTTAGACACCACCCCAACTGAACAGCTCCCATTAAATAATATTCAGGAATTAACGCAATATGATAGACAACTTTTAGGTGAATTTCGTAATTACATGGCTAAACTCAAGAATTTGCATTGTTTCATGTGTAATAAATATTTTCCAACAATCAATCTTACTGGAAGTGAATGTCAACGCTGTTATAGTGATAAAGAGCAAATAAAAAAATTCTCATTAAAAAACAATATGGATCCAGGGGATGTACCTACTGAGTTACAAGGCTTGACCGATATAGAAGAGATGCTAATTGCTCAAGTGTTCCCTGTTATGTCAGTATACACTCTTAGAGGAGGTCAATATGGATACCGGGGAAATATAATCAATTTTCCACAAGACATTGCTGAATTTACCACTCGACTTCCTCATCATCCTTCATCTCTTGAAATTTGTGTTGTACGTTGGCAGTCTGAGGATGGGTCAACATTTAGAGATTTTAAAGTTCACCGAAGAAAAGTTGCACAAGCACTACAATGGCTAAAGGAAAATAACACCTACTATAGTAATATTACTATTGAAAATGATGTGCTCCAATTTTTAAAAAAAATCAGTATTATTTTAGAACAAATTCCACAGCTCAATAATAATCAACCTATTGACAAAATAGATCCTAATAATGTGAATCTAAGTGTAATTGAACAAGAAAGTGATGATTATGATGTAATAACAAGTTCTTTTGTTCCAATTTCTTCTCTCAGTAACTGTGAAAGACATGCTATCAGAAATGCTCTTAGTCATATGCAAGACAATCAACAAAATGAAGATACCACCATTAAATAGCCAAATATAGATAATAATCCAATTAATGAATTTCATACTGCAGGATATATGGCATGTGCCTTCCCAGCTTTATATCCAACTGGACATGCAGACTTGCATTTTGAATATATGAGAGAGGTCAAACCTAGCAAATCCAGCGTTACCAACAATCGAGGGCGCAGTCTTATGACCGGAAAAAATTTTAAGTTCGTTTACTTTAGGG